TCTTTGCAGCCTCCTTCTAGCTTGAGATTCTGAGATATGCATGTAAACTGACATTTGATGTTATAAATTGCTGGTGATACATTAATCAGTCAGAGTTTCTTCTCCTTTTTCTTAAGGTCTCACCTTCCCTTTTGTAAGTACTACATGCTTTTTCAAAGAATTCAATAATTTCTAAAAAGTTTTAAAAAGCAAAAATTTCACTGTAGTTTCATCAGCTGCATAATCAGGTTTCATAGCTGCAAACAGAATAGATTCAAGCTGGTTTAAAGAGAAAAGGAATTCACCTGTAAACCTTAGGTTGGGCCAACTTTTCTATCAAGAACCAGTAGGCAAAATGCCAATGGCCTGCAATGCTTTTAGGAGCCCATGAAAATGTTTTCATTTCTTTTAAAATCTGAAGGAAAAAAAATTAGGTTGAAAAAAAATTTTTTATATAGTATTATTATATCTATCTTTATTCCAATGCAGTTATAAACTCTAATTACATACACATATACATACATAAGTGCGTGTGTGTGTGTGTGTGTGTGTGTGTGTGTGTTATGGAGAAAAGGGCTGCTGAAGGCAAAAGTGTATATGATCCATTAAAGTCATACTGAACACAGGCTCAGGCTTGGAGGCTGCCCACTCAGGAGCTCCAAGCTTAGCCACATGCACATGAGCACTGCTCTAGGACATACCCCCAGTTACTGGCACTGGCACAGGCTCTACCTTCCACACAGGGGCCCCGAATGCCTCCAGGAGCTAGCAAAGGTGTCAGCTTTCAGAATGGATTGTCAGCATGTGCTTCTGAACTGAAGCCTTGTACAATGTTGTCTCACCATGACAGTCTAGGTCCTACACTTCCACCCCAACATTCTCAACATCTACCCCCTTAGGGATGACTGAGACTTTTAACATGAGATGAAGACTGAGAAGGAGATTTCCGGCATCCATCCTGGTGATGCGTAAACTTGTAAGGGTGGGATATTTTCCAAACATAGGGCAGGTGTTCTGAAGGTTCTGAACAGCTAAAAATCCTCCACCACACAAAAACTACTGATGTATTAGCATCTAGACTATCTGGAATGCATAGGTTTTGTTTTTGTTTAACAGTTCAAATATAAGCTAAAGCTGCAGTTACTGAATATTTATTATGTGATAGGTACTGTTAACACTATTTGAATCATCTAATTTGATTTTTAATGAAAACAGCATTTTGAGATAGGTAATGTTGTTACTACTTTCCATTTTATAAATGAGGAAACTGAGGCTTAAGAAAACTAAGTAACTTGTTCATGGAGATACAGTTAAACATTAGTGAAGGTGAGATTTTATGCTGAGTCTTAACTGCTATACCACACCAGTTATATATAAGATATACAACTTTAAATTCTGCTTTTTACATTTAACATTTTAGGATAAGCCTTTTAAAATCTGAACTTTAAGCTCTTTTTAAAGCTGACATAATATCCCATCAAATTATTGTAACAATATTTTCAAACATTTCTCTATTGTATTTAGTCTATTTCTATATTTTCCCTATTTTAAGTAATACTGTACTAATTCTTTATGTATAGAACTTTAAAAAATATATTTATCATTACTTTCCTAGAATGGAATCTCAGAATTGGCATAGTAATCTTAAATCAAAAGGAATGAAAAAGTATTTTTTGAGAAGATAGTGCCATACTTTTATTTAGTTTGATGATGAAGAAATAAGCTCATTTATTCATTGATACAGTCAACACATTTATTGCTTTCCTCCTATGTACTGAGTATGGTACATGTGATACCATCATGAATATTTGACAGTCACTTACCTACAGGGTATTATGGTTTATAGGGTGTTAAAATAGGTGTCTCGTGTAAATTATATGTGGTGAGAATGCTTCCTAGATTTTCTGGGACAGGGTAGAAATACTTTTAGGGCTCTTAGGAATTGTAAGAAAGAGGCACTCAAGGCAATATAAAAATGGCATCAAGCATGAACATTGTTTCTTCTTGTCCAAACTGTTAGATGAAATATTATTTATCATTGTTTAATGGTTATCTCCTTGAGTACTAATGAAGTTGGACATTTTTCTGTATGTTCGTTAGTAAGTTGTTTCTTCATTGGGAAGAATCCTTTGATATTTTGGTACTTGGTATTTATATAAAGTAGATTTTGGTGTATTGTATTTGTTGTAAATAATTTTAATCTGCTTTGGTTTAATTTTTTTTTTTTTTTTTAAATTTAAGAAGTTTGTTGTTGTTTTTTTAACATAGTCCAATCTGCCAGGCATTTTCTTTCTAAATTTTTTTAGAAGCTTTAAGCTTCATAAGTACACTTGACCTCTCCCAAAAGGCACACAAATAATCAATTACATTTTTCTTTATTTTTTATGTTGTATTTTATTAGTATTTAATTCCTTAATACATCTGAGAATGAAAGGAGCCTGACCCAGGGGTCAGGGCAGTTGCTCTGTGAGCCTGCCTGTGCTCTCTCTCTCCAAGAGCGTACTTCCACTTTAATAAATCTTGCCCCCGACACTTGAACTCTTCCCTTGTGTGTCCTGAATTATTTCCTGCAATACCTTAAAGAACCTCCTCCATCTGGTGACACCCCCATGACCACCCTCGGGCTCGATGATTTGCTGGAAGAGCTCCCCAAATTGGGAAAGCTGTTATACTTACACCCATGGCTTATCGCAGCTAAAGAAAACATCAAATCAGCAAAGGGAAGCACACACAAAGTAAAAACCCAGCTGCCAACTCTCAGGTGTCCCTTCCCAGTGGAGGTGCAGGGGGCTGGGCTCAATTCTCCCAGCACCAATGTCAGGAGATGTGTGAAGCGTGGTCAACCAGGAAGCTCAACTGAACTTTGGTCTCTGGAGTTTTATTGGGGGTCACTCATAGTCAGGGGTCAGTCACATACGCTTGCAGCACTAGATGGTTGACCTCAGCAATTCCGACTTTAGATTCCACTTTCCCCTAAGCAAAAACAGGTGTTCACCATAAATATATACGGTCAAAATGGAACAGCATAGGTCACAGCCTCAGGCATACAAAACCTTTACCAGGCAGACTACTCCAGAGGTTATCTTTGGGGAGCAGAAGCCAGGCCTTTCTTTGGAATGTGCAGTGTTTGCCTGACTCAGGACTGCTGAGCCAACCCTGGCCTTCCCAGTGGTTATGAGGAATAAATGAGTTAATCCGTGTAACTTAGAATAGTGCCTGGCTCATGTAAGCAAATAAATAAAGGTCAGCTATCGTTCCTTCCAGTGGAGCTCTGTGAGCTGAATGAAGCAAGTTCATTGCGGATACAATGAAGACAGAGCTTTGTTCGGTCTATCTTGTGCTAATGATATGAGTCCTCAAGTTTGGAATAATGGGGATTGCGAGCATATGAAGTATTTTTGCTAGGGATGCTTTTGTAAGAGAACTTCCTAGTGAAACACCGACCCTAACATTGTGTCCGTTTGTCCTTTACAGAGCTCTGAAATCAGCAAAGCAAAGTCAAAGAGCAGAGCTGTTTGAGGAATACAACAAGAGAGCAGGTACAAGAGTGATTCTCAGTAACTAACACATAATATTCACTTTTTAAAAATATGTCTTTATTGATTTCAGAGAGAGGAAAGGAGAGGGAGAGAGATAGAAACATCAATGCTGAGGGAGTCGTTGATCTGCTGCCTCCTGCACACCCCCGGCTGGGGATCGAGCCCACAACCTGGGCATGTGCACTGACCTGGAATCGAACCCCGATCTCCTGGATCATAGGTCAATGCTCAACCGCTGAGCCACACCGGCCGGGCCATAATATTCATTTAGATTGATGATTAATTCAAACTTATAGCCCCTATTATTTAAAAAAATATTTTGCAAAAATACCAGTTTGTTATCTTGGAATATGAGTGAGTGTGGGTTATAGGTGGCTGACTATATCCTAAAGAGGGATTGATTTCTATGAACACATTAATCAGTGTTGAGATTTTCGTTAGGCCAGGCCTAGACATAAATGCAAAGGAATTAACTAAGCAATTATTATTATTTATTATTAAATCAACACATATTTATTAAAGGCTTTTTATGTGGCCTCTGTGAGATATTTAGTGATTTTACAGAACTGACCCAAACTGACTGGCAACGTCCTCTCTTATCCTCACAGCCCTTACAGTACAGTGGAGGTGATGTGAAATAAATAAGCAAGTATTGATATATGAGTCAAAACTGATTGATGCTGTGAAGAGAAACAGCAGAGTTCTGTGGGAGAAAATATTGGGTGACAAGGGAGGAATCTACTGTGGGCTGGCTAAACACAGAGTGTTTCTCTGGAAGGTGACATCGAACTAAGAGTTGAAGTGTGAGGAAGAGAAGCCCAGGCAAGCTGGATCAGCAGTGAATAAAGAAAATGATTGAAAAAAATGATAAAATGGTTGTAGCAAAGTCCCAGAGGTAGAGGGAGACATAAGAGGAAGCTGGGTGGAAAATAGGGTGGAAGTGAGTATGGGATCCCGCCTAGTCCTGTTGGGCCTGAATGGCCATGGTGCCTTTGGACCAGCTCTGCCTGGCCACTGTCTGCCCTTGGAATTTTTGTACAATGTCATCTGGTCTTCTCTCCTGGTCCCCAAAATATAGATGCTTTTAAATCTATCACTCAGCCCTACCCTCCTTCATCTCTTGCCAAAGTACAGTGTAGACACCTTGTGATTCTGCAAAGAGGTCCTCGAATGTGTTCATTCTTCTGAACAGTGGTTCCATATGTTCTGCATAAAATGGTTTGGGGTCAAGAAAGTTTGAAAATATCTGAATACTGTAACACTCTCAGGAACTTTAAATGCACATTAATATAGGTTCTGGGAAGTTCTAAAGCAAATACATATATGATATAGGTATACATATGTATATGTGTATATATGTGTGAACCATAATTTTACCTGAGAGCTCACAGTTATTTCCAGGTTAACATTGGGAAATATTTCAGAAGTTTCTTTCTTGGAACTATGCATTTTAAGAGGTTTCTTATACTCTTGAGGCTGGTCTGTTGTTATGTAATTGACTTGTCTTATGTCTCTGCACATTAAATTATAGTAGATAATTTTCTAGAATCTAGATAATTCAAGCCAGAAAAAAAATCTGTTTGCTTCAATGGTTTAGCTTTTTTAGGCAGAATATTTTTCGTGATCTGAATTATAGGGTTAGTGCTTCAAATTCTGATCATACTCTACATGTGAAAATAGTGTCTTAAGTACCAGTCATGAGCACTGGAGTAAGAGCTTACTAAGTAATTTTCAATATCAATATTAGTCATATTTGTTCTCTTAAATCAAACAAAGGAAAACCACAAAAAATACTGTTTGCGTCTCAGCTGTTCTGAATCCTCCCTTTCCACTGAAAATGCTTATTCTTCTCAATTTGTAAAATTCTCATAAGCTAAAAAAGTCTTAAGGAGAGAAAAATGGAGTAGTGCCTACTGTAGCACCTCAGAATTGAGTTGATTTGATATAAAATTTAGAGTATTTGTCTTTGCAGCAATAAAAGTTTCAAGGCCCAGAGTATGAGAGTTAACCTATGCCTATTTCAGAAGAAAGGTTCTTTGTATCTGTGATGGAAAGGCCATTTCCTCTTTAAGATCAATTCAGTATCTTTCAATTCAGTTAACTATTATTAAAAAATAAGAACAAAATCATGAAAAATTCCCTAGGATTTCATAACTTAGAAACAAAAGCATGTTTCATCCCCAGAAAGACAGAGACAGCTGTCCCTTAATTACTACTCTTGCCATTTGCTTTCTGTTAGAGATGTGTCTCAAATTTGGAATCTAATTAGAAATCTTAACTGAAAATAGATTTTTTAAAAAAGAAAAAAGACCAATATGGGAGATAAATAGAAATGGTAATATTCCAGCCAAATTGGATAATCACCTATGTTAAAATGAGTTGGCCCCCGGGGAACATGTTATCTGTCATGAAATTGAACCGTAACTGTTTCATTTTTCAGGAGGAATTTTCTCAACCAAATGACAAGTCTTTTAATCTCTCTACATTGTAATTTTCAGGGATTATATTTTGCTCTGTGTAAAAACAATGGTTTTAATGTTTTGAGGCCGGAGTTAAATCCCAGCCCTCTAACTTGTTCCCTGTCTGACTTTGTACAAATTTTCTAACAATTCTCAATCACAATTTACCCATCTCTAAAACAGAATTTCTAAATCCCATTTCACAACGTGGTTTCTGTCTCATTTGTCTCTTGAGTGAGCACACTGACTGGTATGTTGTGGCAGACCTAGAGGTATTAAGTTCTAGAAAGGATGAAAAGAAGAAAATAAAAAGGAAACAAAGCTAAATTTGAGGATATATATTACAATATCTAGCACAGACTATTACGAATGCTAACCATTCAGAGAGCGCTTATTGATTCTGTATCCTGGAGGCAAAACCTCGAATCCTTATACTCAAGCTACTTTTTTCTTGTAGATATTTTGGATTCTCTCTCCAGACTGTCAACCCCACTTAAAGTCATAGTCACATATTATTTCTGAATTACAGCACTCCGCGTGCTGTTAGGCATGCTAGTTGCTCAATTAATATTTGTTTAATTGAGCGAAGCTGTAAACCAACAGCGCCCAGAAGTTGGATCCCCCAGCGCTTGCTCCGTCCCCTGGTTCACAAACTCCCCGTCTGGCCCTGAAGCAGGAATGTCCTCGCTGGGTGACCGCGCGCCCACTTCCTGCCGCTTCTCCCCTGCAAGTGCTCCCATCAGAGCAGCTCGTTTCCTGTTATTTATGCCTGTTCTACATGGTGGCTTTTTGTCATCATCTGCGTTGTATTTTTCCCCTGTTCTTTTTCATTCCTCCTCTTTTCCCCTCTCTTCTCCTCTCCCTTCCCTTAATCTTTTTTTGGGATTTTTGATGCACAAATCTCTTAAAGTCTGACCACATATCATCTCCTCCATGAAGGAGTTTCAGGTTATCTCCTGAGATGAGTATCTTACCTCCTTCGATTTTTTGGGGGTTCTCTGTTTTGTTTTCAGGTGCTATTCCTGTTCCCCATCTGTGACCCTGACACGGGGCCAGTGAAAGCCCTGCCACCTACGTTAATGGCTCTTTCCTTCTGTCTTCTATCCTGTACTCCATCCTGTCACCTTTACCAAAAAGCCACCAAGGGAGTGGACATCTGGTGCAGTTTGCTGCTTGCTTCCACACTGGTGTCTGGGTGGCTGGCGACCCAGAAACCAGCGTAAGTGGCAGAGCCGAGGCAGTCTGGATTCATAATAGGCCTCTTAGCCACTTTGCTATACAACCTCTCTCATGCTAAATTACTGTAATAATGAGTGTTTGTGAGAGGGACTCAGATGTGCGTACTAGACTAACACAGAGTTAAATGATAAGAGCAAAGACCCAGAACAGCAACAAGAAATTGTCAAACAAAATCACATGTATTAACTTGCCAGACAAGGGAACAAAAACTGGTATAAAAATTCTCAAAGTAGTTCACTAAAGGGAAAAGAGCCAGGGAATAAGTGCTAAAATTGGTGGGGTGGTGGTAGGTGGGGTTAAGGGTGAAGTCAGGAGGAGAGTCAGGGTATGGAGGTGGGTGTTACTTTGGTGGTGCTATTTAAGGGTTTAAAACTAGTATTTTTGCAATGACAGAATATACAAGGAAACCCTTTCATTTACAACAATACATTCCATATAGTAGATGCTCAATAAATACATGTCCCATGAGTTGATGTTTACAGTATCTCCTTTTCTTACTTCTCCTTACACATGAGATCAAAGTAATCCTAAAAGCTGGAGAGCTACAGCCTGAGATTGAAAAAAATGGGAAACAAAGGAGGAAAGTCCACATATGTTGTTTTATTCAGTATTTAGGCATAAACTAACGACATAGCTTTCACATAAAACCCAAGCTTGAATGCCATACTGCCCCCGTGGCAACACTTCTTTTACTCCACATGATCACAGAGGATTAGCCCAGATGATAGAGGCTTATTAAGTCAACCCCTGCTTTTCTTTAGTTCCATGTGAGGCACTAGAGAGACGCTAGATGAGCCTGCAGACGGAACAATGCCTTGGAACTTGGCTGCTCAGCCTTACTCGCTTTGTAGATATTCTGCCCAATTCATATTTAGGAATTGAATTTTTTTTTTAATGACACATTGTTTGTTCTTACTTACACTGTAGTGTGGTATTATTGAATAATATTTTAAAGTAGAATGTAAAAGTGTGTACATAGTAGAGTATAAGGAAACTGCTGGTAGTGAAAGAATTAAAATTCATTATCTGTATGCAATGGGCAGCCTGACTGGGAAAACTTAGCTATGCCATATTATATTCCTTGTAGATAACCCCAGGCACTCTGTGAACTTCTCTCGAGAGCTAAAGTGAAATTAGAATAATCACATGTATACATTTATCCTTGCCTGTCATAATAAAAGGCAGCAGATAAAATTTTAATTAAATTCATTATCTGTCTTCCTTTGAAATTTCAAATTTCAAAAGAAAATGAGCAATTAATCATCAGAAACTATAGATAATTTAGTTCATACTAATTTGAAC